GCGGACTGCGGGATGTACGAAGTAAGGGGCGCCAAATCGGCCGGCGGAGTCAAGAAACGCTCGTCCTTAACAGGGCTTATATGGATAACCAAAGGGCTTCTCGGCCGGGATTCTGCTGTGAGGGGCTGCCGATCCACGGCACATAACAGCAGTCGTCGTCAATCAGACCGGCGTTAGGTCATGGAGAAGGTAGTGTGTGACGGTGGAAACGAGACCATGGCCAGCTCCAGTATCTGACTGATGTGCTTGTCCGGCGGGAGTGAGCGTCCACCGTCCTTGACCCGTCGGCAAAGGTGGGAAGGGGCAGGCAGGCTAGCAGCGACTTTCGTCCTGTTGTCTGCGCAACGCAACGCAACACAATGCAATACAATCTGAATTGGCGAAGGAATGCTCGAATGGGGTTCGGTTGGGTTCCCCGATAAAAGAGGGAGGAGCGGGAACGCGCTGTTTGCTTTAGGTGTCTGTGTTTCGGGAGGTAGTTCCAGGAATGTGAAAGTTTAGCGGCAAACAAAACACAGGAACCAGCCGTGGCATGCAGCGATGACGACAATGCCGGCGGAGAGGTGTGGTTAGGTATGTACTGTACGCAAAGTTGCGAAGACCTGAACCGCAGGTGAAAGAATTGGTGAAAGTAAAAATGTTAACTGATCCCCAGGTTTTCCTACACTGCGGCACGTCTCCAGATTTGGCTCGCAGGGTGGAAAAGGAGGTCCGTCGGTCCTGTCCGAAAAGGAAGGATTTCTCAGGAACGGGAAACTGCTCGAGGGGGGTCAACTTCGTCTCCCGTTGGTGATGACAAGTGTGGAGACGCTGACAGGGGAAAGGTGCATTACACAGTAGTTCTAAACGTAGAACGACCTATTATTTTCTGAACGAACTAGCGCGAATTGGGGCTTTAGATTACCGAGCTGGGCTAGCCTGCAGCATGTTTGACAAGTGACATCTGCATCTGCTGCAAGCTAGGGAAGTGAGGAAGGAAGACCCCTCCTGTTCTTGTCGACAGCTCTTTCCCAAAATCTACGGCGTACGATCAACGAAGGGCGGTGAATGGGGTCAATCTTGAACCTGCATTTCTTCCGTTCTGTGGCCAAGGTACCGAGAATACAGTGGTAATACTGTCTGTGTATCCAGGTTCCTTCTCAGCAGCCGGGAGAAAAGGAATTCGTGGCACCGAAAACAAACTATCGAGTACATACACAGTATATTCAACCCCACCTCACCTCGGTCGTCTTCTCATCCTCTCTGGCTTTCTCTCTCGTTCGAATTCTCCAAGAGAAATTGCGGTCCAATCATTCCCCTAGAGCTTATGGTTATCTCATTTAGGCACATCTGCATCGAATCCTAGCTCGCCATGAACACATGCGACGCCATGGCCCTCCCATCTCGAAGCTTGGCGCACATTTTTAAGCAACCTCAACAAACATATCTAAAGCTTTTCCAGCTGGAGGGTACGGATAGTGCTGTGAGGTAGGGACGGGACGGGCGGGCTTCAGGGCCTCCTTGGCCTGCAACACTGACCCGTGGTCCCCCTCTACGATTGGCCTTCGGTTCGCCGTAGTTGCACTCTAACAATTTCCCGCGACCGGGGTCAAGAATCACAGGCCAATCACCGAACTTGTCACGTTTCCCAGCGTTGTGGACGCAAGGTAACCCAGCTCCTGCAGCTCGAGCTAGACTCGCTTAGGTATGCAGTCGCAGCCCTTTTTTGGTGAGGGATCACCGGCATCTGAAAATAGGGGCAGCTCGGACCTCTTTTTTGATTTTCATCTGTCTCGTCTGCTTGTCGGTCAGCGCTGTTGCTCAGGGCTCTTTACTCCGCTATTTACGAAGCACCTCATACGAAGTAAAAGCGTTTATATGGTTTGTCTAGTAACTGCGTTGGGGAGAAACATGAATATTAACTGCCTGCAGAGACGGCGAGACGACACTACCTAATTATGCACACCCGACATGTCTTGTTTATTCGTGCTCTCGTTGGGCCGCCATCCAAACCTGCTGCATATCTGAGCAACGACAATTACAACGTCTCTTTTGGGTTGAGGTGTCACTTTTCTCGATTTTCTCTCCAATATGAAAAGAGCCCCAGATTCCCATGGTCGATCCACAGGTTACCTTAGCTTTGGTCACAGACCCCTCCCGGTCTGTTGGTCTAACAGAACCCTGGAAGTATTGCTTTGCTAACAGTACCTACTTCAAATATTACTCCGCCTTGGAAGGAGTGAACCTTCCCCGCGGCAGTGGCATTTGGAGCCGCCGCTACTTCCATCCTTAGTCCCCTCAGTGGGGGAGTTGTAGGGCTTCTAAGTGCCCGCCATCTACCAGCCTTTAACCTTTAACCTTCATCCTTTCATCATCCATTGCGCCCAGGCACTCCCATACCTCCATGGATGAATCACCACCCTCCACGAATCCAACGACACATCGGCACATCGATAGATGGCGCTGACGGGCTACACAACATGTCTCGTGGCCATCGACGCACCGTCTACCGACACCGTCTACTGGCGGGGGGACGCTGTCGACGCCCGATGCACCTGCAAGAGCAATGCAGACTGGTTGGCGATCAGCTTCTCATGCCTGCTGCATCTCGCATGCGATGCAGTGCGTGCAGCAAACAGCAGCCAATCTCACAGCAAACAGTTGATGTGATTCTCCAACTTTCCATGGCAGGAATAAACCTGCGCCTGCCCAACCGAAGTTGCGCTTTGGAACCAGAGAGAATTCCAACAGAATCATTCCCCTGTCCCCCCCTGACTTCCTCCACTGTGTCGATCCCTTGCATGCGGTGGTGTTTGTTTCAGCCAAATATTGCACACCCTGGTTAACAAAACCACGCCACCACACCAAATCACATCACGACGAATGTCCGGTATTTCCAATGTCTCTCAGTTCGGCGGCCACAATGTCTCAATCTGATCCAGCCCATTTTTTCGTTTGTTCATGTTCATATTCAATCTCTCTCAAAGATAGCCGCCCGCCTACCTACCTGGACTGTCTCTGCAAGTGCAGCGCAACAATACAGTAACGCACAGCACAAATACAAACGACTTCATAGCCGTCTGCCCCCCATCATCAAGCGATGCTGGCCTCCGGCGTCTTCTCACTGACCAAATTCCTGGTAAGCTTCATCAAGTCGTCGGCCAGCTCGTCACTCTGCGCCAGCTCGCTGCCCTTCTCGGGCGTGGCGGGCGGACAGATGTACTGTCCTGAGCCCTTGGTCATGGTAACGGCGAAGACGGTCGGGACGGCGCCCTGGAACTGGTCCTTCTTGAAGGGCTCCAGAAGGTGCGATACGCCGTAGCCCGCGATGGGATACCTGAGAGGGTTGTCAGCTCAACATTTCGCAACTCCAATGCTTATTAGGGCATTGAGGACATACGCTTCATGTATATCCGTCTTGCTCTGCTTTGTGCTCACGACCCCGGGATGCGTCGCGTTCATCAGCACATTCGGGTGACCGTTCTTAGTCACATGCCGATCAAAGTAGCGCGCATACAAGATGCACGCCAGCTTGCTCCGGCCGTACTGCCCATTTGGCCCAGCGTCCTGGTTGATCTCGTCCAAGCTCGCGAACTTGGTGTCCTTGGGCGCGGCCAGGTGCGAGTTGCTGGCCTGGTTGCTGATGCGCACAATGTTGCCCTGCTCGGCCGTCCGCTGCAGCAGCGGCAGCAGGTGGCTCGTCAGCACGGCGTGGCCGACGTGGTTGACGGCCATGTGGCGGTCGACGCCGTAGTCGGTCAGCGCCGGCGTCATGACGCCGCGCCCGCTGTTGTTGACGAGAATGTCGAGCCGGTCGGTCGATTTGGCGATGGCGTCGGCCGTCGCCTTGACGAGGGCCCAGTCGGACAGGTCGCACTGCAGCCAGACGGTGCGGTCGGCTATCTCAGGGCCGAGGTCGTCGGCGAGGGCGGCGTGGGCGGCGGAGAAGCCGTCGCGGGAAACGGAGATGAGGTAGAGCTTGGAGATGTTGTGCGCGAGCAGGGTGTGGCCGATGCCGTAGCCTATGCCGCGTGTGCCACCTGTGACGACGCCTACTTTGCCCGTGAGGTCGGGGCAGTCGGAGAGGGCGAATTGATTTGTTCCGAGCTTGGAGAGGGGGCCGCCGAAGTTTTCGGCGAGGGTGTTCTGGCGGTGTTAGTTGTGTGGGGGTTAGTTAGTGGTATGTATGAGGGCCCGAGTACCTTGATGTATTCCATGCCTGGAATTTGTGCCCGAGGAGGCCGAGTTGTTGATATTCGTCTTGTAGGTGGTTTCCCATGAGATAACAGAACGGCCCCGATGGGTCTGATGGAGGCGATATCAGTCTTGAAGGACGACTGCAAGAGGCCACTGTTTATGCGCTTGAGGGCAGATTTTGAAGCAGCCATTTGAGATTCGAGTTTCACACTTGAGTGTTTAGGTTTACAAGTAATGATATATAAACCGAACAATATAATTGCTACAGACATGCGTAAATGTTCTTTACTTATTCGAGCCACTTGCCATATTTAATCTGTAGAAAGGGGTGACTCTTTGTTGCTACTACATGAATGACGCGCTGATTGAGGGACGCGATTCGCAAGGTTCGATGCTAGCTCCAGATGTGGGCGCGGAATCCCGATGGTTCGGATCTAGGCACGGCACGGTATCTAGATCTTCAAGCAATGGATCCAGATCTGTCCGTCTTCGTAGGGGTTCAACTTTATCTCATCTGATGTTTTTGTCTGCCTAGTGATTTAGGGAAGGAGAATACGTCCTAGGATTGGAGAGTTGATGTATGCATTGAGGGCGGCATGTTGAAGATTGCGGCGATTTCTGTTATGCGTTTACTGTATCGTCAGCAATAGCCATCACATTTGCTATAGTTTGTCAATAACACCTGCGTTCAAAGGCGTCGAACTCGAAAGGGGTAGGTAGTGATTGCTTGATCGAAGTAGGCTAATGAGGGGTGCAGGTGGAGTGTATAAGCAGATCTGCAGACCCAGTCTCTCATCAATCGGGGTCCATATTCGTCTTCCAAATCGGGTATGGTGTAGCGGTAACATCGTTGACTCTCACTTCTAATCAAAGTGTCTGATCACTCAACATCCCCGGGTTCGACTCCCGGTATCCGAATAACTTTTGCATTTTTTGTCATTTTTGATTCTGCGCTATTTGATACAAATGCTTTGGAAACATTAGTCGAGCTGTCAGAACTATTATTTTTCTTCATTCTATTGCAGTTGCTTCATTTGAACACACAAGTATTAGCGCGATAACCTTAACTCAATTATCTATTCCTAACATATGTGTTGAACAAAAACTTTCGATTCTTATCATGGCCATCACCACGTGCCCTTGATGTGGCTTGTTTTTTCTGGTCTCGTGGACAGAATGTTCTCTCGCTCTTTCCCAGAGCCAAAATACACTCACTCACACTTTGGTACAATGGCGTTTCTGGAGTGCGGTGTATTTTGTTTCGGCAAGACCGAGCAACTGCATGCCACACCCTTCATCTCGTCTTTTTAATTCGCGTCCCAGCTTTCATCACGAGGGCTACAATCTACACAGTCACCGATGCTGGGGACTAGAGTATTCAAATATATAGAATGATGGAAGACTCTACAGAGTTTGTTACTCCCACCAGTTCGGGGGTGGTACAAGCCCGCCGTGAACCACTGGTTGAGAATAAAGTTCTGAAAACAGGCTTCTGCTTTGCTGTAATGGAAGCACATGTCGCTCTCGTACCTACTACCTGCCTTATCAGTTTAAGTTACTCATCATGAGACTGAAACACAGTTTCGCTCCCGCCGAACCCTTTTGGGCTGTTCACATAGCCCCAGTACATAAATCAGCCAAAGCCTTTCATGGCTCTGAAAAATGCGATGTTCCTAAACTATTTTCTTCAGACGCTCTTAGCTCATTTTGTTCATCTCCTATACTCAATACACGGCATAGCATCAATAGTCTACATTCCACTGTCACGCATTCGATTCAACACCACCTCAACTACAAAAATAATTCCCAAGACCACAGCAAGCCAGACGCCGGTTTCCGGTGCCTTGAGTTGCAAAATGGCACAAAATGGCTCTTCCAATAAATCCAAGCTCGATCCTGCAGCGATGACATCAACCGACTCAAAATCCAAAATGAAGTCCGTCTTGGCCGCCCGCCTCGACTATGCCCAAGAAATGCTCCAGCTCGAGCGGGACCTCAAGGCCGAGATCGACGACCTGCGCTCCGAGGAACAGACCACGCTGGCGACATACCGCGAGGAGTCCCGAGGCGACAGCATCCTCCGCCGCGCCATCTACAACACCAACATGCAGATCGCCGGCCTGCGCAAGAAGACCAACGGCCATCTGCGGTTCCCGCCGCGCTTGCGCCAGCTGAGGGGTTATGTGGCGGCGCAAAAGGAGTGCGAGCGGGGGATTGTGGGTGAGGAGACGATCGATGCGTCTCTGACGCCCGAGAAGTTTATCAAGGCCAGGTTTGCAAAGGCCGAGGCCGACGTCAGGGAGGTGTATGGAAGGCGGAGGGTGAGGTTGATGGAGAAGCATTTTAGTGTGGGCCCGAGGAGGGGGGTGGTGAAGCAGAGCGTGCTTGTTTCTGAGATGGTGGAGGGCGATGGGGGTGATAAGAGTGTTGCGTGTCCGCCTTATGAGGAGAATAAGCCTGTGGTGGCGAAGGCTGCTCGCTGATCTGCTCATTGCGAGATCGTTTGCTCGACTTTTTGTCAGTACTTGTGCACTTGGCGTAGCGTTCTTCCAGCGCATCTTTGATGTCTTGGGGGAGCTCTTTGGGATAGGTGGCATTAGGAAGGATGAGGGCGCTGTCGGGAGTGAGTTTATGGATATCTCCATAGAACGACCATCTCGGTTCAAGATACAAGTGCTCAAACAACGTTAGATTCTCCAATGATACTTCACCAAGGAACAAGGCTGGTCCCTGCCACCCACATGTTCAGTCGTGAATCTTTTCGCCTTCAAGCTTGAGACATAATAAAGTGCATGAGAAAATCAAAAGATGGTATGAAATCTGAAAAGATGGCACTAATGAAATCTTTAGGGAAAGAATATGAAATCCATCCTGAATTCTATGCCCTCTCTAGTTCAATGAGTGAATGAATGAATGAATGAGTGAAACCCTGCCCCCAATATCCTGTATCCAAACCAAACCTAAACAATCAAACCACAATACCGCAAAACACCAAATCGGCCACCCACCACCTGGGTGAGTGGGAGCCCCTTTATTACCAACCCATACCAAATCCCAAGCTTCACAAAAAAAAAAAAACAGAACCCATTACCAACGCCAGCTAATGCAATAAAGAAACCACCCACACAAGCCCAACCCCACAAGAACCCATACAACACCACACCAAATTTAAAAAAAGACATCACCCCCCCGCCCTCAACCTCTCCATCCTCATCTCCTCCATCAGCTTCTTATGCACCATCCCCAGCACCCGATAGATATTCGCCAGCTCGTAGTCCCCATTCCACTCCCACCCCTCCGACGACCGTCGCGCGATATCAGCCAGCCGCGCGTGCGACGACTCGGTCAAGTCGCAATCCACCACCCAGTGCTCCTTGCCCTTGAGCGGGAACCGATAGACGGCGTGCTTCCACTCGCTGCGGTGCACCTCCACCTCGCGGGCGCGGTCGTAGGCCGAGTCGGGCGTCGCGCGCACCTGGGACGCGCGGTCCGTCGGCGGCGGCGAGACGGGCGTCCATTCTTTCTTGGGCTGGGTCTGGGTCTCCAGCACCGGCAGGGGCGTGTCCAGCTGGACTGGTTGAGTGTTGACGTTGTTGAGGGCGAGGGTCAGCGGGGCGGGGTGCAGTTCTAGGTCTTTGGGGTTGACGGTGGTGTTGTTGCTGTTGCCGCCGTGCAGAGGCAGCCTGGCGTGGAGGCCCTGGCCGTGGAGACGGCGGCGGCGGGCCAGCGAGACGGGCGGGATGGGCGGCGGCCGGTGGTGCTCGAAGCGCTTCAGGTTCTTGTCCGCGCCGCCGCCGCCGGGCAGGGGCGGGCTGGGGTAGACGGAGGACGGGGGCGTTCCGTGCGCGTCGCCATCTGTGCCGGCAGAGGTTGTTTGCGGTGGGCTGTTGCTGTTGTTCTGGGAGGAGGAGGAGATGGTGGCGGAGCGCTGGCGGGTCGAGTTGGTGATGGCGGATGATGCAGGCGGGGTGAAGGTGGAGCGCATGCCGTGCCGGCGGCTGGGTGGTGAGAGGAGGGAGCGGGACTGGGACTGCTGGGAGGACGATGTTCGCCTCTTGAGGGGGACTTGGAAGAGGTCCATGTCGCTGTCCGAGTCGTTGGCTGTTGGCTCTATGAGCGGAGCGGTTTCGCTTGTGATGGAGGGGATGGAGTGCTCGTCGAGAGTAGAGTCCATCTTTGTCCTGCCTGGTGTTGGAACGAGTGTTGGGAAGTATGGCAACGTAGTAGTAATGAGTGAAAGCCCACTGGCTCAAGAAACAACTTGATGGGAATTAGAACTAGAGTATTATGCGATGCAACCTACGAGGAAACAAGATCTACTGGTCCTGGTGATCATTGTCGATCATCAAAACGAGGGAAATCCTCGATTGTTTATACTATCGTGCATGACGGGTCGTCGCCTGTCAAGACATGGCGCGAATGCCCTCGACCGTGGAGCTTGGTGGTGGAGTTGCCCTCCATGTTTCCAGTCGTCGGCAGCTTGGGGGTCTGAAACTAGTATGCACAAGACGGTAGCAGCATTTTGCACGATTGATTGCAGAGAGACAGGTCGGCGTCGGGAGCGGTGGCCCGAGGGGGGGGGAAGCGAATCGCACCGGCACCTAGTTTTGCATGTGGGGGATCTAGGTTCTAGAATGATTTTGATGCTGCGAGTCGCACGTGTGACCGTGGCGGGCGCCTGCGCTGAAACGGCCAACCGGGTTTGAAGCCACACATCTGAGGTTGAAGCAAGTTCGAGGCCCAGTTTGCGGGGCGTGGGTGCCTGTAACCAGTATCCGTTTGTGCTGTTGGCTGCTAACCTGCGCTGTCGAATGGCCTTGAAAGTCGGTCCATCCCGCTGACCAACACCGGATATAAATCCCATAAATCCTAACTTCCCCTCAACAGATTCATCTAGCTAACAGATTCATTCAGCTATCTTGTTGATACCAAAGTATTGTTCCTTCCTCATTTCCGAGAATTGGCACCGGCATAGATTCAAGTTATGTCAAGCATCAAGTTACAAAATGCACATAATGCCTTCGAGATCGAAAACCGGAAACAGCCATCTTTGATTTACGATAGTGGAACGTTATTGCCCGATCGACATTTCTGCCTACACGGGAAGTTTAACTTTGGATTCCACCTCGGTAGTAGCTTCCTTCTCCGTTGCAAAGAATTGTAGCGTCCTTGTCCAAAGTTCTGGAGGTCAGCAGAATGGCCGGTAATTGTTTGCTACTACATTCCATCGCTAATCCGCCCTTGTTTCCTTGTGCTCGGCTTCATTTTGCACAATCTTGCCAACCTTCTTTTCGATAACCATTGTCAGCTACACCAGCAGATCAGCGACTCTGAGATCACTAACATGGAAATTAATATGGAAATCCCAAACCGGCGAGAGTCCTAGTCACGCTCTGTGCCGTCATCTACCCTGACTATCGATGGCACACCACGTCTGTACTCCTTGGCTCTGAAATCTTTTGAATATATTCTGCAACTTGCTCTGAGTCCTGAGGGCGGAACGATAGGCCTCAAAACACACTACACCGGCCCCCTGTGTGAAGTGCAGACGGCCGTGTCACCAGCTGACCGACGGAATGCTCGAAATGCTTGCCTGACATCGCACCTCCTTCGCGTGTTTGCAACGCCATATCTCTATCGCTCGGTAGTGCTCTCCGATATCACAAGCCTCGTTATGTTTCTGAGCACCATGTGCACAGGTCGCAGTGAGTTGCGCGAACTGGTCCAGCATCTTGACGTCCCTGTACGGAGTGGAAATGATCTCCTAACCTTGAGCTTAATGTCAATCATACCCCCCGAAACCAGAGCGCGGGTGGCCAAATGTCCAACCTGCTCCCATGTTATTAAGCCGACATCGCCATCAATACCATATCTTGCCAACCTCAACATAAATGGCCTGGCCGTGGAATTAGGGTACG